GGGTTGAATGTGAAGAGGAGGGCGTCTAGGTCAATCGAAAACTTCTTCTTTGTAATAGTAGATAATCCCCGCGCGTGACACTGAACAGGCGTGCCTGCCAATTGAAATATCTCTTCGCTGCCAGCCATGATGTAAAACTTAGCTAGAGTCAAGCAAAATATGTTTTAATATAAAATAGGTAGAGGAGGAGAGAGCGTGCGTGGAGTGCAAGGGAGGCACGGGGAGACGGGCAAAACTCACAGACTACAACCATCCGAAGCAGTTTTCTTGGATTATTGGCAGCGATCCTGCCCGTCTGTGCTACGCACGCGTACTCGATCCTCTTATCGAACGGCGGTCGACGAATGATGAGCAGAGCATGTTCCACTATCTGATAATCATCTGGATGACAGTTGATACAGCGCCAGGCAACGTTTGCCTCCTTGCTCTCATAGGTACACTTGAATGTCGTCTCGGGCAGGACAAGCACTTCCTCTGTGGTGGTCGTTTGCTGCGTCGGGAAAATCTGCTGGATCTTCAGGTCTTCTGAGCCTGGAGCAGAGAAGGAAAACAGTCAAAACAGCGTGGCAGCGCATCAAATGAGGCCTACAGCGCCTGCAGCGTCTTGAAGTCAGTTAACCAATCAGCTGGCGCGCATCCACTTGCACCTTCACTGACGCATGTTCTCGCAGCGGTGCCAGCCAATTAAATGCAGGCTCGATAGTGGGGCCATTGCTATTAGGGAAGTTACGGTTGCAGGGAAGGCAATAATTCAAGATACAAATAAGCACCACATTTGTGATTGGAGCACAGACATTTCCATTGCGAATATACCCACCTATGTGTGAAAGTTCCGTGTTTGCGCAAAATGTTTTTTTCGAGAACAACGAGGCGCCTGGAAAAGTCTAAACGTGAACACGTACCAGCCTGGTTAAGCAAAGATGAGACTGAATCAATCTCGAGCTCCATCCTCACACACCTTGTCGATACGAATCATCGATTCGATACCAATAAAGCCTTTCAGGTTGACTACCGGACACCAGCTAACTTTTCAAAAGCCCTACGCCAACGGATGCTCGCAGCAGCTGAAGCAGTAGCCATTCGGCTAGCAAATCCAGTGCTGTCTTGTCAGAAGACGCTGACACAAACTCTTACATTTCCGTAGCCTACACCGACACCAGGTGGCGATAGCATTTCGCCCCTACCAACTAGCGCCAGTCTCTCAACCAACACGCCGACATGGCGTACATGCGCAAACTGACATCGTCCGCAGTGGCCAATCAGCAGCCACATTAGACAGTTATTGATTTTTCTACATATTCAAACTTCAATTCTTATGTACAGCGTTCATTTCCCTTGAAGACGTTTGGCCTGATGACGAGTTGCTGAAAGCATATGTTTGCCATAAACTGACTTTTAAGATGAACCATGGGAATAGTTACGGAAATTAGTGACTGTTTGCACAGATGTTTTAACACAGTTAAAGCTGCACATACTGATAACAAATTATTTTTCCTGCAAATTTAAACAACTATACTTAAATAATTACTATATCCATTTTAGTTGGCGCAGTTATGCTCATGACTGCAGCATCCAATACGAAACTCTTTAGGTTCCTGTGGTTACTTTTAGTTCTATCAGTTCAAGTGTAGTTTTACGTTATATTTCTCGTTAGTTCAATCCTTAATCTTTTAAGCGACATGCGGTTGCTTTTGGTTTATTGCACTAGACTATCTGTCCGAATGTATTAGAAGTTAGTGTGAGTTGTAAAAATGGGGAAAGCCCAGGTTTTGTGGTTTTTTTAGCCTCTAAATTTCAAAGTAAAGTCCATATTGGTGTGCAGCCCATTTGCGCAGTCCCGGATTACTGTTGGTTGTATTTCTCATTTTAATTATCCCGCGCCAACCAGTAAGTTACGCGAATCATTATTCCTCTGATTTTTCGATTTTATTAACTTAACTTTTTAATAATATTTTTTGTCGTGATATTACACACACCTGTAACGCCTATTACAACGAATCCCGTAGGACAGAATTCTGGGGTGACGGATATCTAAGGTTTCCTGTCAACTTAATTGTTGCCCACAGACTTAATGCGATCTACTGCATATTTGGCTCCCATGCCCTGGTGAGCCTAAGTCAACCTTGAACACTTCTCTTTTTGTCAAGTCCAGTCTTCGTAATCACCATCTGTCTTATGTACTTTAAAAGCTTCTGCTTACATTGTTTTAACATTTTCATTCCGCCACCCCTGGCTTGCTTAAAATCAGCAGTATACTGCTGCTTATCAAGGTAGTTTGGCAGATTTGGTTAATTTAGTTAGCCCAATTGTTGGGCGGGTAATATCGATCCAAGAATCAGAATGAAAAACTTGACCGATTTGTATTGTCCTCTCAAGAAATT